AACTTGATTCTAAATTACTTGCTGCTGATCTTGGTAAGCTTGTTATTGTTGCCTTTATTTCTCAATTTACCAAGTCTTATTTAGTTTTATTTATCCTTCACCATTACGCACAATATCATCTTGCACTCTGGTACAAAAATGGAAAAGGAACAATCAAAGATAAGCAAAAAGCATTCAAGTGGTATTTGAAAGCAGCAGAGTCAGGACACCATTACGCACAATATAATCTTGCACTCTGTTACAAAAAGGGAAAAGGAACAATCAAATATAAGCAAAAAGCATTCGAGTGGTACTTGAGAGCAGCAGAGTCAGGAAACCTGTACGCACAATATAATCTTGCTCTCTGTTATGAAAATGGAATAGGAACAATCAAAGATGAACAAAAAGCATTCGAGTGGTACATGGAGGCAGCAGAGTCAGGATACCATTACGCACAATATAATCTTGCTCTCTGTTATGAAAATGGAATAGGAACAATCAAACATGAACAAAAAGCATTCGAGTGGTACATGAAAGCAGCAGAGTCAGGACACCTTAACACGAAATATATTTTTTCTCTCTCTTATGAAAAAGGAGTCGGAACTATCGAAGATGCGCAAAAATCATTCGAATGGTACTTGAAAGTAGCATTATGTTACTTTAATGGAGAAGCCATTATTAAGAATACAATTGAGGCTTTCAAATTGTTTCAACTGTTAGCAAAAAATAAGATCCCTCAAGCGCAATTTATTCTAGATAAATTTTATAAAATTTCAAGCACACATTTACCTCATAATAATGAATTAAAAGAAATAAATATCAAAAACGAAAATATCAAATTCTTTCATGGAATAACAGATCAAGGATTTCAAATTACACAATCTTTCTTGCCAGCAATCAAAGATGACTTTACACCTTTGCTTAAAATTGCTACTGTAAAAAGTTTTTTATTGAAGCACACTTCAACAAATCCTGAATTGTCCTCGCTATCACAAGGAATAACCAAGGAACAGAATTCTATTCAGGAATCATTTATCGATCATATGCAATTCGATCTATTGACAACAGACAATATTTATTACGAAATTTTAAGTGAACAACTATCGATCGTGTTTGATTTGCAAAACTTAAAACCAACTGACGATTTATGTAAAGAAGTTCAAAAAGCCTTAAATTCGTATACACCTTTTGAAAATTTAAAGCTTGTATTTCAAAAATTTGGACATTATTTTTATACAAAACTAGTCATTGGTAATAAGCTGCAAAGAATTGTTCAACTATCTTTAAGAAAGGTTAAGGACGAAGCAAAAGAATTTAATGATATTTTTGAAATAGGTACTTAAAATTATTTTGTAATACTTTTTATATAGCAACTAATTCCATTTTTTTTTTTTTGAAAAGATCCCTTTTTAAAGAACTTGAAAGCATTGGGTCAATCGTTTGATTCTTCATATATGACGTCATTGGACGGTAGTTTGATAGAACTAAGGTACTTGAATTTTTAATGATATATTTGATAAATCTATGCTAAAGATATTTGTTTTTTAATTAGCGAAATTCCTAATTGGCTTAAAACAGTATCAAACCAAGAGTCTGGATGGTATATTGTAAAGCGTGTCGTCGAACCACTATACAAAATTCTTGACAAAGATCAACAGCACGAGATCGAAAATCTTTTTGTAAAGAAGAATTCCTTATTAATGTCTAAAAAATCAGCACTTTTGGATTATAGTTCCGAGTATCAGCGAATTAAATTTGATATTGAATTTGATATTGAATTTGATATTGAATTTGATATTGAATTTGATATTCAATTGAAAAGTAATAATTATCAACTATTTGGTATTATAGTTACTTGCAATGACGAAAAGCTTGAAGAAGTCTATGTGAAATTTAGCATGAAGACCAAATTTGGGTTTTCGGTTGACTGGCATGATTTTCGCCAAGATTATATTCAAGCAGATGATAAATCAACTTATGACAGGTAGAGAGCAAGAATATTTTTGATTTTCAAAATATTAAAATTGACTTTTCATAATTTTATAATAAATTAGTGCAAGAAGACCTTATTTTCTTCGATGGATATTAATCGGTTGCCCGATCGAAATCGGATATTTCGATCCTAATACTCGTGACATATCAGTTAACGTTGGATCTAAAGAATTAAACCTTAAACAATCTGTGAAGATTGATGTGGGTGAATCACGTTCTCAAAAAAATATTGTCGCATTTGATATAGAATATGGTTCGTTGCCGACTTTTCTATTCTTCCAAATGGACATTGAAACGAATATTGAAGAAAGATCTATTGAAGTGCAAATCAAAGAGGAAGATGGTGCTACGTTGATTGAAGATGATGACTTCGTCATTACAATTCGATTTTGTGTATTAAGTCTTAATTCAGAAATCAATATTTGGAACCAATTAGAAAAGCTAGGAAAAATTTTAGAATGATCAAATTATAATCTTTAGTTTATATTCTTATTTTTATTATGAATAGTCTATATTATAAATAATAAAATTATTTTTTACTCATCGCTAGCATAATAAAATATAGAAAACGCCGAAAATGTAATTAATAACCCATGAAAAATTTAATACTAGCTCGCTCAAAAAACGAAGTTTTTATTTAGATAGGCGCCACCTAGAATCTTGGCTCTTGCAGTTGTGTTGGTACGTGCAAGAGTTCAGACTCGAGTTACACAAAAAGTGCAATTTCAAGCTTTCTACATCAAATCTTTTACTAGTTTTTGATAATTCAAAAATAATCTGTTGTCAATTATTTTAGAAAATAGTGTACATGTATTTGTATTTGAAAATTACCGAACGTGTATTTTGTTTGGATCAATCAAATCAGTAAAAGGTAACACAAACACAATGTGTTTTTTATATATGCATTCGTAAAAAGAATCCATTCTTGTAACAATCGTTATACGAACAAGTACATTGCTATATGTATTAACTTTTCACTATCGCTATGGAAAACACATCTACAAACCTTGAAGTTACTGTTCTAATTAACGATAATGATACTTCAGTCCGTACTGAACTTCCTAAAGCTGCAAAGCTTACGGAGATACGTGAAATCCTTGCCAAAAACCCAGAAATAAGAATGGGACATAAAGCTCATTTTATAATATGTGAAGAAGGATCAGCAATTATCCCGATTATCCCGCACGATGAAGAAGAAAACTATCTTTTAAATAAAATCATCGATTCTGCTAGCAATTTGAAAATAAAGGGTGAGCTTAAGCCAAATTGGGCAGAAATTATAGAGAAAAATTCGCTTGAATATGGATTGTTTTTTACGAAGGACGGACCTAAACCAGCAGAGAAAAAAGCATTTAAATTTAAATCATATTCGGAAATTACGTTTCGAACACCAAAAACTTCGGATCAAGAACTAAAATATAGTGCGGAAATAGATGATATGCGTGCCAAAAATCCAATGTTTTCAACAAATATAAGTGTAAAACTGCCAAAGTAAGATTACAGAATTTTAAGTTTATTTGATAATTTCTTAACATTCACCTGTTTTTGCCTATAAAATGCAGTATGCCAATTTCTGCGAATTTTGGTGGTACTTACCGGTCGAATTCTACCCATCATAGCAATAACGTAACTTAAAAGCAGTCAGAAGTTTGACAAGCATAAGAGCAGACTTTAAAATGTCTGAATCAGAAATAAAACCAACTAAAGCATTCATCGCCGCGGTAGATGAGGCGCTAGGATCAACCAATCCTCGTAAATCCCTTGAACAAGTGTCAAATGAGTTTGGACAATTTTGGTGTAAAAAACTTGGAATTGGCGGAAGCATTTTATATGAAATAAAAGAAGAATTTATTGTGGATGAAAATAAAAACTCTAAAAATATAGAAGGAAAAATTGAAGTTGGTATCGGAGGAACAGTTGGGAAAAGTGAAGAAACAAATCAGATGAATACAGTGAATAACAAATACTCATATTTTCAAATTCGTGGTGGTTCGGACAAGCTTTTTTATGAACAAGGCCTGAAGGGTATGTAAAACCATATTTATAAAAAGTATTCTACACATTATTTATATATTATGTATTGTAGGATGGATTGCGTCCTTAGAAAATGATGAAACGTGGGAGGTGGCTGTATATTATCCTGATATCCAGTCGATATTCGATATCCTTGGCGACGAAAGACGAGCAAAGGTAGCAGCAGCTTTGGGAAAACAAATCATTGATTCTCAAGTTGTACAATTTAACTTCAGAATGGATATTTCCAAACCGCATCCTTATATATACGAAATTCCGAAACAATATGCTTTATCGAATTGCCAATTTTTTGTTACCGAAATGAAAGATGATGACAAATCGGATACAATATTTGCTTCTCGAGTTCATTATATTAGTAGTGAAGAACCACCGATAATTATATTACATCGACTTGGATCACTGAATAAAAAACAAAAATTACGAACATTTTCGATAAAATTAGGTAGGATCGTGCTTGGAACATCTACCATGTTGCCACAAAAACTCGTTTTCAAGAGTGGGGAAACACAAATCACAGCGAAGAATGAATATTGTTCAGTAGTTATTCCCTCGCATGAGCTGGATCCAAATGAAAGTCTATTGGCCACTTATGTTTCAAGATCTAAAGGGTTACAAGACAACTATAAAAAGTCCATATATGTAACGAGATCTCATTTCGTTTATAACAATGAAGATAATGCTATTCATGCTTGTGCTTTTTGTTATGATCTCGAAAACCGTAAGTATTTCAACGATTAACATTTGTCTTTATTTTTAATATTTTTGTAATAATAACAGTACATATTTATTCAAAAGAAAAACTATTCTACCAGTTGAATAATTTACAGGCAACTTTTTTAATAAATTACAGGTAATATATGTAAATATTTGTTATGTTCCAATTTAAACTAGTTAATTGACATTTCAGTATTTTGTTCTAGTGTGATTTCCGGGAGTCAAATTGATGAACTCGGCCAAGCACAAATTAAGCTCATTAAACCTTTTTACCAGACAGCTACTCAGAGACATAAGATCGAGCTCGACAGCTATTGTGGCTTAACAAAACCATGTTTACAGAGTCCTATTTTCGTCTGCTTAGTCCTGGATAAATGCCCAAAAGTGTGTCCACATGGAGTATTTAATATCACACCAAATTACGCGGAGTTTATGTCTATTGACTCTTTAAGCACGAATTGGGAAAATAGACGAATTGCATATTTTCGTGCTCCAATTTGGGTTAACGAGATTGATGTTTAACGTTAGTATACTAAATATTTAAATTTTGATATTTCGACAAATTTGGACTTATCGTCAGTAAAAAATCATATTGAAACCTGTATTAACGTAAGCTTAAAAACATATTGATATGTATTAAAATTACCCAGGCATTTCAAAAATATAGATTATCAACAACGATAACGATAAAGATAAAATAAATTTAGCTGCAGAATTTAAAATTTATGCTTTATTCTATAGATTATATTGAAAAATTTATGTAATTTGTTAGAATACTAGAGAATGCTTGACACCATATGAAATGTAAATTTATGCAAGTCTTTGTTTAAACACGAAAGATCTTAGCAAATTACATTAGTCAATAGCAAACAAAATACATGTTAAAAAATTGAAAGGAAACTTGTAATATTCAATTTAAAGACACTGTCGTTATTTCAGTGTAGTGTAAGCCGGGTCTATCTTTGACAAAAATCTTTTGCCGTGTAACGTTAAGATAATGGCAAATTTTATGAACAAAAAAATTAATTATGACAGTACATGTTACATAGGTGTAACACAAAACTGGGATTACTTGTTCGTTTATAACGATAAGTTCATGAAATACTTTTTGAGATTAGACAATATGATCAAAAAATGAAACTTTCTCTTGAAAAACGATACGAAATTGTATTTTTACATGTATATCTGGCTGGTTCAAAGTGAAGTTTTACAAAAATATGTTTGCTGTAATAAGTATACAGCCACTTATTTGGTCGATATCACGAAACTCACATCAAAGATCTGGTCGATCACGTAGCACAACACAAGATGAATAGAACAAAGTGTGTGGACAAAAAAATCTAAATTTTAACTGGAATCAGGTTATTTTTATGGATGAGAGTATGTTTCAACAATTTTCAATGAAAAGAAATGTTTGGCAATTCACTGGTTCAAAAAAAAATATGCCATATTGTTAAGCATCTGGCAAAGATTCACATTTGGAGTGTTTTTCTGCTTCGGGATTTTGTAAGTTGGTATGCTTCCAGCAAATCTTGATGCCAATTTTATGTGTAAAATTTACAAGCGGGATCTTCTGGCTTTGTCTTTGAATTTTTGGGAAGGGTAACTTAAACTGGTTCCTTCAAGAAGATCAAGATCCAAAGCATCATTCAAACTTGTGAAAAATTGGAAGGCAGAAAACAACATCAAAGTACTTTCCTGGCTGTTGGCATCTCCAGAACAAAAGCTTATAGAAAATATTGGCAATTAATGAAAATTAAGTTAGCAAAAAAAAAAGATTGGGTCAGTTGAGGGCACTCACGAAAGAGTGGTCTTCCATCTGACTTTACTGTTAATTTGATGGCTTCTATGAAACGTTGTGTCACTGTACTTGTTTATTCAAATGTTGACTATACAATATACTAAATACTATAAATAGTAACGTATTTTATAAATAAAAAAAATTTGAAACAATCTTTATTCGAATGACGAATTAAGGTCGTTAGGATATTTATTTATGATCCTACCATAACTCAAAATTCGTTTGACATTATGCATGTGTTTCGCAAAAAACAATAAATTCAGATACGTTCGTATATGCGAATAACTTTCCTCAACTATATGAGCTTATTTTTAGAAACCGATAAAAATAAAATTTGTCAAGATATTTACTGAAGAGCATTATTTTAGAACTTGGAACTGATAATTTATAGGTAGATACATATCTGTATAAGCAACACTGAAACCAGTGTAAAAATCCATAATAAGCTTGCTTAATGTAATTGAGTACCTGTGACCGAATATCTTATAGATTGCCAGGTGACTTGAAGTATCGGAATACTTAAGAGTTCATACATGCATATATGATATCGGATTGGGGTTTATGTTTAAGCAAGACCTTCAACTTTTGACGACATGTACATATACTTGCACCATAACATTTGTCAAAGTTTAAAAATCAAAAATATTTATAATAATATTAAATTATCGAATTTTTCAATAATAGATCTAACTTTACAGATTTCTTCGAAGTTCCGATAATCAGTCTCTAATTCATTTCGAAGTTTTTCGCCACGATCCCCAAAAATGACAGATCGATTTCTAGCTTATTTAATTTTAGTTAACAAGCTCTCTTTATGCAAGCGCATGTGACCTTGTCAGAGATTTAAGGATTGTATTAATATCAAAGATTATGTGTAACTACATGTATCGCGAAAGCTAAACAATGGTAATGTATTAGCATATAACACATTATATGCTAAATATGACAGAAATATAATAGCAATAGAGTTTATATATTTTGGAAGAGCAAACTAATAAAACAATTTATTTCTATGATAATTTTAATCAAAGATATTTGCTTTTCATTGCTATATTTATGGTTATAACGAAGGGGTCAAGTTGTTAGTCGGAAATTTTCCAAAATTCATTATATTAAGGTTTTTTTAATAATGTCATTATACTTATTTAATATAAAGGAACTGAAACCAAATTTTCGTTATATTGAGGTTCCATTGTATGCCAAATTCTTGCGTGAAATGCCAGAACTTTGTTTAGATAATATTTGCATAAACCTTTACAAACAGCAATTTTAAAATTCAAAGGATATATCAGCCTTTTAATTCATCATGCTTTTAAATAAATTTCTGAAATCTGTATTCAATATTGAATAATATTAAAATATGCTCTTTTAACGCATTCAGCAAAGAAACAGCAACTATCTAAAAATTATACAAAAGTTATTTAAAATGAGTTCTTTCAGTTTGTTATTACCATATTTTTGAGAATAACGCGCAGTGGTGTGATTTCAAATTTTGGCCTGAATTAAGCTTTAATGAGTGATTCATGGCTGTTATTTCACGAAAATACAGTAAATAAATATTGAAT